CACGCCGCTGGGGTGCCGGCGCCCCACCTGGACTTTGCACAGGGACCAGGTAGCGGCCATCTGGGGTCTCTGTGCAGGAAAGAGAGCCCCAGCCCCCAAACGTGACTACCACTGGCCAGAGGCCCCTGAAGCAAGCCCTGCTCATCTGTGTTGGTGTCTTTGCACCTCCTTGGGCCCCAGATGGTTTAAGAGTAAGCAGCAGCAGCCTCACATGGGTCTCACCCCCTCCCTCCTAGCAGAGCCCTCACACGCCAGGGGCACACGAGCTTCGGGCCCTCGTCCCCGCACAGAGATGGGAGCAGGAAGCGAGCCGGGTGTGCATAAGGGCGGATGCCACAGTCCAGGCCACAGCCGCCCAGCCCGGGCCTGCTGAGGATGGGCGGGCAAGGGGGCCCCACAGACACAGCCGCCTGGTTCCCCACTCCCCTGACCGTTCCCTCTGCAAGGGGCAAAGGACTGGTGGGGACCACTCAGGAGCAGGCGGCAGGGCTCCCACGGAGCTCAGAGACCAGGGAAGCAAACACGGGATGGCCCAGACCAAGTGAAGGCGGGATACGTACCCGTCCTGCTCAAGAACCCCTTCCGAATGCCCACTGCCACCAGAAAGCATGACCTAAGGCGTTCTGAACAATTACCAGAGGCCCCAGGAAGGCCCCCGGCCATTACCGAGACTTGGCTGCATTGCCACCAGCCAGACGGGGCTGGGCCAAGAGGGCCACACATATGCCTTACTCAAGGTCACACGGACCAGAATGTCACAGCCTGGCTTCCAGCAACTGTGCCCGCTAATCAGAAACCGTCACATCACAAATCCCCGAGTGTGTCCAAGGGGTGGGGGGACAGGAGCTCTGCCCAGTAGGCTGGCTCAGGGGCCGGAGGGTGGGCCGCGGCTCGCTGCATGCTCCAGCCACCCCCCTGCATGGGCACAGGTGGGCGGGCGGTCTTGGCCTTGCGGCTTCGAGGAAGGGCTGAGCCTGGTCCTACGTGGGCTGCACAGGAAAGGGGG